CAAAGACTAGAAAATATGGTGAAGCAAATCTTCCCTTTGGCTTCACCTGCACAGGTGCAGAGGTAGGTCTCCCTGCAGGATTGGTTTTCCCTGCGTCGGGAGCAGCGCTGGGCTGTTCAAATCACGGACAAACAGGATCTCACAGCTGTTTATGTTTTTAAACCCATTTTGCACAGAGAGGCATTTTTTGAAAAATGTATTGACAGCAATGTTGAATATTATTACACAGGAAAAAAACAACTACATGTAAAATAATCACAGCGTGACGCCTCTGCCTTTGTAAATGGAGGGACAGTAACTGCATGTAAAACCTGCAGACAGTCAGATTAACAGTATTTCATCTCCATCTGCAATTCATCTCATGGAAACAATAACGTGGCCACAGCGTGACGTGAAAAAGGCACATACCTTTGATATTGGTTGACGAACTCTGTATTCCTCGTCCACACGGAAACGCAAAAAAGGAGTTTTAAAAAAATCTCAGTTTTCGGTGATTCGAAAAACGCCGTTTACGTGTCGAAACAGCTGCGTGTTCAAAAATACCCGTGTAGGTGTGGACGTAGCGTAAATTAGTTAGTAGTTTATTTTATTACTACCTGCAGATTACTTGTATTTGTTTGATTGTTTACTAAATGTTTGAAGTGTGAAATAAACCGCAATTGCAACTGCAAAAAAATATGGGCGTGTGTGGTTGGAGGATGTGTTTGTGCAGGGGGGGCACGACTATTTTTCTTGTAAAACAAAGGGGGGCCTAGCAAAAAAAGTTTGGGAACCACTGACATAAACACAGTGAAGCTGGAGGATGAACACTAACTTTTTTTCCACTCAATAAAAGTTAACGTTAACGGGTTCCTGATGGTTAGAGACAAATGCAATCACATGCAGGACCAAACTTCAGTCAGGAGAACAACTTTAAAATGATTAGCGGTAATGAAAACAACAGTGATCACTGACTGTTTTTTTTAGGGTCTTTTTCAGATTTAATAGAACAAGATACAAAACATGTTAAAAACACAACAGCCTTAATAAAGACTGAAGCAGGGTTCATGTCATCACTTAAAGACCAGATACTGTGTAGTCGAACTGTTCAGGGATTCTATAATTATGATGGAGTCATTATGTTCAACCCTGTCTTCATGAGCAGGCCAGCTGCTCTCACATCCCCACAGACTACTATTTAAACTATGCAATCAAAAAATTATTAACAACTGGTGGAAGCTTTTTAAGTTGTCTGTTGACCAGCGATCGACGACGGTGGTGTGAAGAAGTGTTAGCCCTGATTTACTCCTTTATTGTCTGTTTGTCACACTTGAATGTTTCAGATCATCAAACAAATTTAATGTTAGACAAAAATATTACAAACTGCATT